TTTTATTTCAGCATATTATGGGGGTACAGATGTTTAGGTTAGGTATGTTGCCCTTGCCCCCCCCAGGATTTATTTTTGTATAACTTGATTATCTATGTTATATCCAGTGTCTGTTAACACTAATTATTGAGACTGTATGGTACTATTCTCTGTCCTTTAAACAACTGCAGTTATCCAAATGTAAAAAAAAAAAGGGGTACAGACTTACATAAATGTTTCACTTATGTTTTTGTCCTGTTTTAGTCCACCAATTGATGACTTTGATGTATTTAAAGAATCAAAAGACCAAAATTTCTTCGAGTCACAAGAATCTATCATTGCTTTATGTACTTACCTGCAAGAGTTGGTGAGAACTATTGAAGATCTAGATGAAAGTCAGCTGAAAAATGAATTTTTTAAACTTCTGCAGGTAAGTGTGATAATTAATCTCCCAAATATATTTGTTAATTTAAACAGAAAATAAACTGGTACACATTTAACAACAAAGCATGTATATATGGTTGTTATAATTGATAATATTTTATCTAACATAATAGTATTACGAGATGAAAACCCATTTAATTTCTAAAAGTGGGTTTTGAAATTTTTGCTACTCTAACTGGAAATGATTTTAGTGGCACAGGAGTTTTCTGACTTCACAGATTCTGTCATGCTTTTGAGAATACTTCATAGTGATTTGGTTGGTCCAGCCTGACTTGGTCTTCAGCATTGGCTCTGTTGCTTATTTGTGGTCGGACCTGAGGCATGTTATGTAATTTCTCTGGGCTTCAGTTTCCTCGTCCGTTAAATGAGGATGATAAGGTATACCTCATAATTCGATGTGAGAATTAAACTAGATTTATGCTGGTGAAGCGCTGAACACAGAGCCTGGAACACAGAACCTGCTATTATCAGCAGGTGATAATACTTGGTGGTCAATTGACCTAATAATAATAATACATTTCTTCGTTTATCTTGTATTAAATTTAGTTTTTAATTCATGCAAACATCCTAAAATTTATAACATGTTAGAATCAGAACTATTTGAAAACATGTGGTACGGTAGTATCCCCAGCCGTCACCGTTTTCCAGAAATTTGCTGACAGGTTTGCAGGGCGTGGCAAAGCTCCGATGAGACTTCAGGGAGAAGCAGAGTCAGCTGAGTGATCACAAGTAAAGGCATATTTTAAATTTGGAAAAAAAATTGTTAGGACATGGTTAACTAATAAACCTAGTTTTTTGTTTTTGGGGTTTTTTTTTCCCTCCCCTCTCAATTGTCCTTTATGCTTAGCTTGGAATTAAAAAGAAAAAGAAAAAGAAAAAAAACTAGTGTGCCAGCTCTTGGCTCCTAGCTAGCCCATTTTTTCAGGGAAAAGTCTTTGAATGTGTTCTTTGTCCCATAAGTATAATCAGTTGTGAAGAAGAATGAGCACCCATCTATTTTCTGTCATCTAATTTGGCCAACGACT